AAACTGTAGTGTGGTAGAGGATGAGTTTGGTAGGAGGACTTACAGATGTAGCGTGGTGGAGGATCTCCAGGGAGGGGTGAGCTGGGAGAGTGAATGAGTATTCCGGGGTGATGAAGATCGGCAAGGTTTTACAACCGGAGGGAAGGAGAGAGAGAGCCTGTAGTGCTGGGAGCAGTTAGTGCCGTGAGGAGGACGGGAACCGGGAGTGAAGTCCAGACGTAGTATGGTCGAGTAGTAAATCCAAAAGGTCTCAGCGAGGAGGTGGTGTATGGAAAGATGACTGAGCCTGAGACAAAACGAGAACAAAATCTGAGCAAAAGATCGCTAGCAAAAAACACGTTTCTAAAGTTCAAGGCTAAGGTTTCAAAGTTCAAAGTCTAAGATCCGACAGTTCAAAGTCAAGGTTTCAAAATCGAGTTAACACTGTGGCTGGGACTCTACCAGTAGGCGTAATCATCCGGCGGCTTAGCAGTGTCCTCCGTCCTCCTTATGAAGGCCACCCACTGATCAGCTGATCGATTGCAGCTGCTGCTCTCTCTACTGAAAACAGAACTCACAAGCCAGGTGATGTCATGGTGTGTGTGGAGTGCTCACCTCCCAGCTCACAACAGTACCCCCCCCTCAACGGACGCCTCCAGGCGTCCTAGCCGCAGCAGCCTCATAATCCCGAATGAGGGAAGGATCCAGGATGGCAGAGCGTGGCACCCAGGAGCGTTCCTCGGGACCGTAGCCCTCCCAGTCCACAAGGTACTGCATACCCCGACCGCGGGGACGGGAGTCCAGGATCCTGCGAACAGTGTAGATCAAGTCCCCCTGGTGCAGGCGAGCCGGAGGAGGAGGTGCAGGCACGGGACAGAGAGGACTAGTGACCACAGGCTTGACCAGGGAGACGTGGAACACCGGGTGCACACGTAGGGTCCGAGGGAGGTCCAGGCGGACCGTAGTGGGGGACGGAACAGCCAAAACTTTAAAGGGACCAATGAACCGGGGAGATAACTTACGGGAAGAGGCCTTCAGTGGAATGTCCCTGGACGATAACCACACAGACTGCCCTGGGACGTAGACTGGGGCCGGACGCCGTCGGCGATCAGCTATCTGCTTGTTCCTCTGTGCAGTGCGATCCAGCGCCGCCCTGGTGGTGGTCCAGGCACGACCGGCACAACGGAGGAATTGGGGAACGGAGGAGCCAGGCGTAGATTGTGCGGGGAAAAGCGAGGGTTGAAAACCAAGGGAAGCCTCAAACGGGGACTGACCTGTAGCTGTAGAGATGTGGCTGTTATGGGCATACTCCACCCAGGGAAGATGGGTGCTCCAGGACGACTGGTGAATGGAGCAGACACAGCGCAGCATGGCCCCCAGCTCCTGGTTCATCCGTTCGCATTGGCCGTTGGTTTGGGGGTGGTGTCCGGAGGTAAGTGCCACTTTCGCCCCCAAGGCCTCTGCGAACTCCCTCCATACTTGGGACACGAACTGCGGACCCCGATCCGACAGGATCTCCTCCGGGATGCCATGGAGACGGAACACATGCTTAACCAGGAGCTGCGCTGTGCCTGTGGATGAAGGGAGAGATTTAAGGGGCACCAGGTGGCAAGCCTTTGAAAACCGGTCGACTATGGTAAGAATGGAGGTGAAACCGTGGGAGATGGGGAGACCACAGACGAAGTCCAGGGCGATGTGCGACCAAGGCCGTGAGGGAGTAGGCAGAGGCTGGAGTAGACCGGCTGGGAGGCGATGGTCCCCCTTGTGTTGGGAACAGGTGTGACAACCAGAAACATAGTCCTTGGTATCTTTAAAAATGGACGGCCACCAAAATGTACGTTTAATAAGGGCCACAGTGCGTGCCACCCCCGGATGTAAGGAGAACCGACCAGCATGAGCCCAGTGAATGACCTTGCCTCTAACAGATTGGGGAACAAACAGTTTACCCGGGGGGCCGTTGTCTGGACCAGGGTCAGTCTTAAGGGCCTCCAGTACCTGCTCCCGGATCTCCCAGGTGACGCTCCCTACCACACAGTTGGAGGGAAGGATGGTCGATGGTGGGTTATCCCGGTCTGGAGCATATTGTCTAGAGAGTGCGTCGGGTTTGGTATTCTTTGTACCGGGTCTGTAAGAGATCAGGAAATTAAACCGAGAAAAGAAAAGAGACCATCTGTACTGGCGTGGGTTTAAACGTTTGGCTTCCTTGAGGTAGATGAGGTTCTTATGGTCAGTCCAGATGATGAATGGTTGTTCAGCCCCCTCCAACCAATGTCTCCATTCCTCAATGGCCAGTTTCACAGCCAACAGCTCTCTGTCCCCTACGTCGTAACGGCTCTCGGTAGGTGTGAGGCGTCGTGAGAAGAATGCACAGGGATGCAGGCGTTTGTCCTCTTCAGCCACCTGGGAGAGCACAGCCCCCACACCAGTGTCCGAGGCATCCACCTCCAGTGTAAACTGACGTTGAGGGTCAGGCCGGTGTAGGATGGGTGCGTCGGCAAATCTCTTCTTCAGAACCTGAAAAGCGGATTCAGCTTCTGGGGACCAAACAAAAGCTCTGTTAATCGAGGTCAGCTGGGTCAGGGGTGCGGCGATTTGACTGAAGTTACGAATGAACCTCCGATAAAAATTAGCGAACCCCAGAAACCTCTGAAGCTGCTTTCTAGTCGTCGGAGTCGGCCACTCGGTCACCGCCTGCACCTTTTCAGGATCCGCCCTCAACCTACCACCCTCAATGACAAACCCCAAAAACTTGACGGTTGGGACGTGAAATTCGCACTTCTCTGCTTTTACGTATAGTCTGTTTTCGAGAAGGCGCTGGAGAACTGCTCTCACATGCCGGATGTGTTGCTCCAGGGTCTTAGAAAAGATCAGAATGTCATCCAAGTAAACTGTGACAAAGCGGTTAAGGAAGTCACCCAGCACGGAGTTAACCAGGGATTGGAAGACTGCAGGGGCGTTAGTAAGTCCGAAGGGCATCACCAGATACTCGAAGTGACCCACTGGCGTTTTAAACGCCGTCTTCCATTCATCCCCCTCCTTCACCCGAACCAGGTGGTAAGCGTTCCGGAGGTCTAGTCGGGTGAAGATGGTGGAGTCCTGTACTGGTTCGAACGTGGATGAAAGTAGAGGCAGAGGATACTTGTTTTTAACCGTGATTTGGTTCAAACCTCTATAGTCAATGCAGGGCCTGAGGGAACCGTCCTTCTTAGGCACGAAAAAGAAGCCGGCACCCAGAGGGGAGGATGACGGTCGAATAGTGCCGGCTGCAAGACAGTCCTGGATGTAATCCTCCATGCTCTCTCTCTCCGGTTTGGACAGTTGGTACAAACGGCTGGAAGGCAGAGGGGCTCCGGGTAATAGATCTATGGCACAGTCAAACGGTCTGTGTGGGGGTAATGAAGAAGCACGGTCTTTACTAAAAACAAGTTTCAGATCATGGTAAACTTGTGGTACCGTAGCCAGATCGATGTTCTCTGCAGGGGGATTGACAGGTCCACGGCTAGGCAGAGCTGCGGAGCGCAGACACAACTGCGAGCACTCTGGGCCCCATCCAATGATCTTGTTCTCCCTCCAGTCGAGAATGGGGTTGTGGCGGACAAGCCATGAATGTCCTAGCACCAGTGGAGACTGAGGGGAAGGGAACACATAAAAAGTGAGAGTCTCCACATGGTTACCTGAAACCTGAAGGCGGAGAGGAACCGTCTGGAGAGTTATGGATGAGAGATTGCGGTTATCCAGGGAAGAGACAGAGCGAGGCGTAGAGAGCTTCGTTGTGGGAATTCCCCATTCCGTCACCAGTCGAGGGTCCAATAACGATTGCTCACACCCAGAATCCACTAGGGCTTCAAGAGGAATCTGCTTAGATTGATAAAACAAAGTGCATGGCAAAGAACACCGGGTCACAGAAGAAATCAGGTTACCGCCCACCAATAGACCCGGTCTTACCGGTGGGCGTGCCCTTTTACCAGAGAGGGACAGTTGTTCACGACATGTCCCGCTATTCCACAATATAAACAGAGTCCCATCTTGCGTCGGTGCTCTTTTTCTTCCTGAGTGAGTTTGGCTCTGCCCATTTGCATGGGTTCGTCCTTGGGTAGGAGTTCGGGTGTGGAACGCCCCCTGGCCCCGGAGTAATGTTCTGGAACAGGAAGAGGGGTCACCAACTCCACTCTTCTCATCTCGCGGTGACGCTTGTCTATTGACATGGCCAGCCTGATTAATTCAGCCAACGATTTGGGTTCGGGGCAAAGAGCCAGCTGGTTCCTGATCCTGTCATTCAGGGCCTCAGTGAACACCCCCATAAGGGCATCCTCATCCCAAGTCGTGCGTGCTGCTAAGATTCGAAAATCCACAGCCAGGTCTGCCACAGAACGTCTGCCTTGGGAGAGATTTATTAGTTTCCTCCTGATGTCAGAAACAGATTCCACACTGCCAAACGTCTGGGTGAATTCTGTCACAAAGTCATTAAAGAGTCCATGTAAAAACGAATCATTGTGGCTCTTGGCCTCAGCCCATCTTAAGGCTCTGCCCCGTAAAAGTCCAACAACATAGGAGATCTTGGCTGAATCAGATCTAAAAGCAGCAGGGCTACGTTCAAATGCCAATCTGCATTGAAGCAGGAAACTGTGACACTCCTCAAACTCACCTCCGAAGGTAGTTGTCGCCGGTGACGGGGCAACGCGGAAATGAGTCTCCTCTGAGGAGCTTGTAGCTTCAGCTCCATGAATGCTTGTAGCAGTGGTTGGATTTAACTGTGCATCCGAGGAGGATGTGGAGGGACGAGTCGTAGAAATGGATTCATGCAGTTGCCGAACTATTGTCTCCAACTGCTGGCAGCGTTGGTTGGATTGGGTTAACTGCTCCATGAGTTTCGGGAGGATTTGTTCCTGCTGGGCTAATCTGTGAGAAAGAGAGGTGAGTATCGATTCTGCTGGGTTAACGTCTTGGCCGGATGATTCTGTCATGATCTGAGGTAATGATTTAACCCAAGACATGCAGAATCAACACACTGGAGCAGGATGTGAAAAAATAAAGATTTATTTGGTAACTAGAACTTAGGGTGCACTGGAAATCCAGTGAATGGGTAAACGGGAGCAGCGTCTGAGGGAAGGGAAACAGAGGTGAGTCCTTGATTGAAACTGTAGTGTGGTAGAGGATGAGTTTGGTAGGAGGACTTACAGATGTAGCGTGGTGGAGGATCTCCAGGGAGGGGTGAGCTGGGAGAGTGAATGAGTATTCCGGGGTGATGAAGATCGGCAAGGTTTTACAACCGGAGGGAAGGAGAGAGAGAGCCTGTAGTGCTGGGAGCAGTTAGTGCCGTGAGGAGGACGGGAACCGGGAGTGAAGTCCAGACGTAGTATGGTCGAGTAGTAAATCCAAAAGGTCTCAGCGAGGAGGTGGTGTATGGAAAGATGACTGAGCCTGAGACAAAACGAGAACAAAATCTGAGCAAAAGATCGCTAGCAAAAAACACGTTTCTAAAGTTCAAGGCTAAGGTTTCAAAGTTCAAAGTCTAAGATCCGACAGTTCAAAGTCAAGGTTTCAAAATCGAGTTAACACTGTGGCTGGGACTCTACCAGTAGGCGTAATCATCCGGCGGCTTAGCAGTGTCCTCCGTCCTCCTTATGAAGGCCACCCACTGATCAGCTGATCGATTGCAGCTGCTGCTCTCTCTCCTGAAAACAGAACTCACAAGCCAGGTGATGTCATGGTGTGTGTGGAGTGCTCACCTCCCAGCTCACAACACAAATGTGTAACTGGACTACTTCTTTAAATTGACACCAGATCCGGTGACCTTTGGGACATGGTTTGACCCCCTTAGGAAAGTGCTATCATCATGAAACGTTCAGATCACTTACAACTCAATAGATTCTACCTTCCTGTAACGTTTCAGCCTGATTGGACCTTGTTTTCACACAAATGAACCCAGAATGATGTGAAATTGTGCTTCGTGCAACATAATTCTGGGTGCCATTTAAAAACCATAAGTGCTAATGATTCCATTCCTTTTTGTGGTTGTAGGGGCTTTTGATTGGAGTACACTAAAACAAACCTAACCTCTCTAGGACATTCAGAAGCCAAGTTATAAGCCCACAATGGTGTAACTGGACTACTTCTTTAAAGTGACACCAGGCCCGGTGACCTTTGGGACATGGTATTACCCCCTATAGGAATGTGCGATCATCTTGAAACGTTCAGATCACTTACAACTCAATAGATTCTACCTTCTTGTAGCGTTTCATCCTGATTGGACCTTGTTTTCACACAAATGGACCCAGAATGATGTGAAATTGTGCTTCGTGCAACATAATTCTGGGTGACATTTACAAACCATAAGTGCTAATGACTCCATTCCTTTTTGTGGTTGTAGGGGCTGTTAATTGGAGTACATTAAAACAAACCTGATCTCTCTAGGACATTCAGAAGCCAAGTTATAAGCCCACAAATGTGTAACTGGACTACTTCTTTAAATTGACACCAGATCCGGTCACCTTTGGGACATGGTTTGACCCCCTTAGGAAAGTGCTATCATCATGAAACGTTCAGATCACTTACAACTCAATAGATTCTACCTTCATGTAACGTTTCAGCCTGATTGGACCTTGTTTTCACACAAATGGACCCAGAATGAAGTGAAATTGTGCTTCGTGCAACATAATTCTGGGTGCCATTTACAAACCATAAGTGCTAATGACTCCATTCCTTTTTGTGGTTGTAGGGGCTGTGGATTGGAGCACATTAAAACAAACCTGATCTCTCTAGGACATTCAGAAGCCAAGTTATAAGTCCACAAATGTGTAACTGGACTACTTCTTTAAATTGACACCAGATCCGGTGACCTTTGGGACATGGTTTGACCCCCTTAGGAAAGTGCTATCATCATGAAACGTTCAGATCACTTACAACTCAATAGATTCTACCTTCCTGTAACGTTTCAGGCTGATTGGACCTTGTTTTCACACAAATGACCCCAGAATGATGTGAAATTGTGCTTCGTGCAACATAATTCTGGGTGCCATTTACAAACCATAAGTGCTAATGACTCCATTCCTTTTTGTGGTTGTAGGGGCTGTTGATTGGAGCACATTAAAACAAACCTGATCTCTCTAGGACATTCAGAAGCCAAGTTATAAGTCCACAAATGTGTAACTGGACTACTTCTTTAAATTGACACCAGATCCGGTGACCTTTGGGACATGGTTTGACCCCCTTAGGAAAGTGCTATCATCATGAAACGTTCAGATCACTTACAACTCAATAGATTCTACCTTCCTGTAACGTTTCAGGCTGATTGGACCTTGTTTTCACACAAATGACCCCAGAATGATGTGAAATTGTGCTTCGTGCAACATAATTCTGGGTGCCATTTACAAAACATAAGTGCTAATGACTCCATTCCTTTTTGTGGTTGTAGGGGCTGTTGGTTGGAGTACATTAAAACAAACCTGATCTCTCTAGGACATTCAGAAGCCAAGTTATAAGCCCACAAATGTGTAACTGGACTACTTCTTTAAATTGACACCAGATCCGGTGACCTTTGGGACATGGTTTGACCCCATTAGGAAAGTGCTATCATCATGAAACATTCAGATCACTTACAACTCAATAGATTCTACCTTCCTGTAACGTTTCAGCCTTATCTGACCTTGTTTTCATACAAATGAACCCAGAATGATGTGAAATTGTGCTTAGTGCAGCATAATTCTGGGTGCCATTTAAAAACCATAAGTGCTAATGACTCCATTCCTTTTTGAGTTTGTAGCGGCTGTTGATTGGAGTACACTAAAACAAACCTGATCTCTCTAGGACATTCAGAAGCCAAGTTATAAGCCCACAAATGTGTAACTGGACTACTTCTTTAAATTGACACCAGATCCGGTGACCTTTGGGACATGGTTTGACCCCCTTAGGAAAGTGCTATCTTGATGACATGTTCAGATCACTTACAACTCAATAGATTCTACCTTCCTGTAACGTTTCAGCCTGATTGGACCTTGTTTTCACACAAATGAACCCAGAATGATGTGAAATTGTGCTTCGTGCAACATAATTCTGGGTGCCATTTAAAAACCATAAGTGCTAATGACTCCATTCCTTTTTGTGGTTGTAGGGGCTGTTGATTGGAGTATACTAAAACAAACCTGATCTCTCTAGGACATTCAGAAGCCAAGTTATAAGCCAAGAAATGTGTAACTGGACTACTTCTTTAAATTGACACCAGATCCGGTGACCTTTGGGAAATGGTTTGACCCCCTTAGGAAAGTGCTATCATCATGAAACGTTCAGATCACTTACAACTCAATAGATTCTACCTTCCTGTAACATTTCAGCCTGATTGGACCTTGTTTTCACACAAATGAACCCAGAATGATGTGAAATTGTGCTTCGTGCAACATAATTCTGGGTGCCATTTATAAACCATAAGTGCTAATGACTCCATTCCTTTTTGTGGTTGTAGGGACTGTTTATTGGAGTAGACTAAAACAAACCTGATCTCTCTAGGACATTCAGAAGCCAAGTTATAAGCCCTCAAAGGTGTAACTGGACTACTTCTTTAAAGTGACACCAGGCCCGGTGACCTTTGGGACATGGTTTTACCCCCTATAGGAAAGTGCGATCATCTTGAAACGTTCAGATCACTTACAACTCAATAGATTCTACCTTCTTGTAGCGTTTCAGCCTGATTGGACCTTGTTTTCACACAAATGGACCCAGAATGATGTGAAATTGTGCTTCGTGCAACATAATTCTGGGTGCCATTTACAAACCTTAAGTGCTAATGACTCCATTCCTTTTTGTGGTTGTAGGGGCTGTTGGTTGGACTACATTAAAACAAACCTGATCTCTCTAGGACATTCAGAAGCCAAGTTATAAGTCCACAAATGTGTAACTGGACTACTTCTTTAAATTGACACCAGATCCGGTGACCTTTGGGACATGGTTTGACCCCCTTAGGAAAGTGCTATCATCATGAAACGTTCAGATCACTTTCAACTCAATAGATTCTACCTTCCTGTAACGTTTCAGCCTGATTGGACATTGTTTTCACAAAAATGAACCCAGAATGATGTGAAATTGTGCTTTGTGCAGCATAATTCTGGGTGCCATTTAAAAACCATGAGTGCTAATGACGCCATTCCTTTTTGAGGTTGTAGGGGATGTTGATTGGAGTACACTAAAACAAACCTGATCTCTCTAGGACATTCAGAAGCCAAGTTATAAGCCCACAAATGTGTAACTGGACTACTTCTTTAAATTGACACCAGATACGGTGACCTTTGGGACATGGTTTGACCCCCTTAGGAAAGTGCTATCATCATGAAACGTTCAGATCACTTACAACTCAATAGATTCTACCATCCTGTAACGTTTCAGCCTGATTGGACCTTGTTTTCACACAAATGAACCCAGAATCATGTGAAATTGTGCTTCGTGCAACATAATTCTTGGTGCCATTTACAAACCATAAGTGCTAATGACTCCATTCCTTTTTTTGGTTGTAGGGGCTGTTGATTGGAGATCACTAAAAAAACCTGATCTCTCTAGGACATTCAGAAGCCAAGTTATAAGCCCACAAATGTGTAACTGGACTACTTCTTTAAAGTGACACCAGATCCGGTGACCTTTGGGACATGGTTTGACCCCCTTAGGAAAGTGCTATCATCATGAAACGTTCAGATCACTTACAACTCAATAGATTCTACCTTCCTGTAACGTTTCAGCCTGATTGGACCTTGTTTTCACACAAATGAACCCAGAATGATGTGAAATTGTGCTTCGTGCAACATAATTCTGGGTGCCATTTACAAACCATAAGTGCTAATGACTCCATTCCTTTTTGTGGTTGTAGGGGCTGTTGATTGGAGTACACTAAAACAAACCTAACCTCTCTAGGACATTCAGAAGCCAAGTTATAAGCCCACAAATGTGTAACTGGACTACTTCTTTAAAGTGACACCAGGCCCGGTGACCTTTGGGACATGGTTTTACCCCCTATAGGAATGTGCGATCATCTTGAAACGTTCAGATCACTTACAACTCAATAGATTCTACCTTCCTGTAAGTTTCAGCCTGATTGGACCTTGTTTTCACACAAATGAACCCAGAATGATGTGATATTGTGCTTCGTGCAACATAATTCTGGGTGCCATTTACAAACCATAAGTGCTAATGACTCCATTCCTTTTTGTGGTTGTAGGGGCTGTTGGTTGGAGTACATTAAAACAAACCTGATCTTTCTAAGACATTCAGAAGCCAAGTTATAAGCCCACAAATGTGTAACTGGACTACTTCTTTAAATTGACACCAGATCCGGTGACCTTTGGGACATGGTTTGACCCCCTTAGGAAAGTGCTATCATCATGAAACGTTCAGATCGCTTACAACTCAATAGATTCTACCTTCCTGTAACGTTTCAGCCTGATTGGACCTTGTTTTCACACAAATGAACCCAGAATGGTGTGAAATTGTGCTTCGTGCAACATAATTCTGGGTGCCATTTACAAACCATAAGTGCTAATGACTCCATTCCTTTTTGTGGTTGTAGGGGCTGTTGATTGGAGAACACTAAACAAACCTAACCTCTCTAGGACATTCAGAAGCCAAGTTATAAGCCCACAAAGGTGTAATTGGACTGCTTCTTTAAAGTGACACCAGGCCCGGTGACCTTTGGGACATGGTTTGACCCCCTATAGGAATGTGCGATCATCTTGAAACGTTCAAATCATTTACAACTCAATAGATTCTACCTTCCTGTAACGTTTCAGCCTGATTGGACCTTGTTTACACACAAATGAACCCAGAATGATGTGAAATTGTGCTTCGTGCAACATAATTCTGGGTGCCATTTAAAAACCATAAGTGCTAATGACTCCATTCCTTTTTGTGGTTGTAGGGGCTGTTGATTGGAGTACACTAAAACAAACCTGATCTCTCTAGGACATTCAGAAGCCAAGTTATAAGTCCTCAAATGTGTAACTGGACTACTTCTTTAAATTGACACCAGATCCGGTGACCTTTGGGACATGGTTTGACCCCCTTAGGAAAGTGCTATCATCATGAAACGTTCAGATCACTTACAACTCAATAGATTCTACCTTCCTGTAACGTTTCAGCCTGATTGGACATTGTTTTCACACAAATGAACCCAGAATGATGTGAAATTGTGCTTTGTGCAGCATAATTCTGGGTGCCATTTAAAAACCATGAGTGCTAATGACTCCATTCCTTTTTGAGGTTGTAGGGGATGTTGATTGGAGTACACTAAAACAAACCTGATCTCTCTAGGACATTCAGAAGCCAAGTTATAAGCCCACAAATGTGTAACTGGACTACTTCTTTAAATTGACACCAGATCCGGTGACCTTTGGGACAAGGTTTGACCCCCTTAGGAAAGTGCTATCATCATGAAACGTTCAGATCACTTACAACTAAATAGATTCTACCATCCTGTAACGTTTCAGCCTGATTGGACCTTGTTTTCACACAAATGAACCCAGAATGATGTGAAATTGTGCTTCGTGCAACATAATTCTGGGTGCCATTTACAAACCATAAGTGCTAATGACTCCATTCCTTTTTGTGGTTGTAGGGGCTGTTGATTGGAGAACACTAAAACAAACCTAACCTCTCTAGGACATTCAGAAGCCAAGTTATAAGCCCACAAATGTGTAACTGGACTACTTCTTTAAGGTGACACCAGGCCCGGTGACCTTTGGGACATGGTTTGACCCCCTATAGGAATGTGCGATAATCATGAAACGTTCAGATCACTTACAACTCAATAGATTCTACCTTCTTGTAATGTTTCAGCCTGATTGGACCTTGTTTTCACACAAATGGACCCAGAATGATGTGAAATTGTGCTTCGTGCAACATAATTCTGGGTGCCATTTACAAACCATAAGTGCTAATGACTCCATTCCTTTTTGTGGTTGTAGGGGCTGTTGATTGGAGTACACTAAAACAAACCTGATCTCTCTAGGACATTCAGAAGCCAAGTTATAAGCCCACAAATGTGTAACTGGACTACTTCTTTAAAGTGACACCAGATCCGGTGACCTTTGGGACATGGTTTGACCCCCTTAAGAAAGTGCTATCATCATGAAACGTTCAGATCACTTACAACTCAATAGATTCTACCTTCCTGTAACGTTTCAGCCTGATTGGACCTTGTTTTCACACAAATGAACCCAGAATGATGTGAAATTGTGCTTCGTGCAACATAATTCTGGGTGCCATTTACAAACCATAAGTGCTAATGACTCCATTCCTTTTTGTGGTTGTAGGGGCTGTTGATTGGAGTACACTAAAACAAACCTAACCTCTCTAGGACATTCAGAAGCCAAGTTATAAGCCCACAAATGTGTAACTGGACTACTTCTTTAAATTGACACCAGGCCCGGTGACCTTTGGGACATGGTTTTACCCCCTATAGGAATGTGCGATCATCTTGAAACGTTCAGATCACTTACAACTCAATAGATTCTACCTTCTTGTAGCGTTTCAGCCTGATTGGACCTTGTTTTCACACAAATGAACCCAGAATGATGTGAAATTGTGCTTCGTGCAACATAATTCTGGGTGCCATTTACAAACCATAAGTGCTAATGACTCCATTCCTTTTTGTGGTTGTAGGGGCTGTTGATTGGAGTACATTAAAACAAACCAGATCGCTCTAGGACATTCAGAAGCCAAGTTATAAGCCCACAAATGTGTAACTGGACTACTTCTTTAAATTGACACCAGATCCGGTGACCTTTGGGACATGGTTTGACCCCCTTAGGAAAGTGCTATCTTGATGACATGTTCAGATCACTTACAACTCAATAGATTCTACCTTCCTGTAAC